TATCTTTGTGTTTATATATGTATGAATGAATGTGGTGTAACCAAAAACTACAGTGAATATTTAAAAAATGTATGATGCTAAGAGACACATTGCCATTAATCCCCTTCAAAATACTCCCCCCTCACCTCGAAGACACTTTTCCCATTGATCTTGGCAATGTGCCGTTTACTGTAATAAGGTTTTTTATTTAAACATTCACTGTATATTTCAATCACACTGTGTTTGTGGGTGTGTACTTTTTTTTTTTTTATACCGGGGATCAAACTCAGATCCTTGTGCTTGCGAGGCAGGCAGTGGAACCACTGAGCTAAGTCCCCAGCCCGTGTACTTTTTTTCTTGTGCTGAGGGTGGAACCCAAAGGCTCACACGTGCTCAGAAAGCACTCTGCCACCAGCTAAGCCCGCAGCCCCATACATTTATTATAGATTACAATATGACATATGCTCCAAATATGGGAGCAGTATTGCAGACTGAGATGGCAGCATGTTGGAGCAGCAGAGAAACATTTGAATTACCATATAACAGAATTTATACTTACAGTAAATAGATTATTAAAATTATTCAGTATAACACATAAGCAGTTGTCTATAATTTTAACCTTTCCAATTTCTCTATTTCAACCAATGATTATCAATTCTTCTACTATCAAAAACCATTTTACTCCCCCTCCTCCAGAGGCAATCCAGGGTGCTGCACTGTCAGCAGAGGTTTGGGTTCTGACGTTTTCCACTCCCCAAAAACAAGGGAAGCTGACTTTAGGAAGGACAGTTGTCATCAAGAAATCAACTACTAACAAATGCTGGGGGAGCTGTGAGGGAAAAGGAACCCTTCCTCATTGCTGTTAGGAGTGTAAACTGATACCGCCAATGTAGAAATCAATATGGAGATGCCTCAAAAAAACCTAAACTAGAGGTTCCATTTGACCAAGCTATTCCCTTTTTAGGTGTCTTCCTGAAAGAGCTAAAAGCATCATACCACAGTGATATATGCATGCCCATGTTTATAGCAGCACAATTTATAATAGCTAAATCTGGAAACAGCTCATATGTCCATCAAAAGATGAATGGACAAAGAAAATGTGGTTTTTATATACAATGAAATACTACGCTCCCATAAAGAAGGATAAACTTGAAACATTTTTAGGTAAATGGTTACACCTTGAGAACATAATTTTAAGTGAGCAAATGAGACACACATGTTTAAATATCACATTGTTTCTCTCGTGTGAGAAACCCAAAGATTAAATAAGGACCAAAATGGAACTTAGATATTGGGAAGTAGGAAGAAAATGTTCAGATGGGAAGGGGAACAAGGGAGGGGGGAAGAGGAAGGGAAGGAAGGGAATAGGGATAAAAATAATAAAGAATGGAAGGAAAACAATAGAAACAAAGTTTCATAGATAGATGGAGAGGGGAAAAGGATTGAAGGGAAGAGAGGAGGGAGGAAAAAAAGAATTAAGATATAATATATACAGATAAAAATTTCCTGTGGTGAATGTGTTCTTTATGTATGTCAAAAGTGTACCAATAAATTTTTTTTTTTTAAAGCTACCATAGGGCCAGGAATTTAGCTCAGTGGCTCTCCCGCCTTCCTCGCAAGCACAGGGTCCCAAGATTGATCCCCAGTAGCAAAAAAAAATTTTTTAATTTAAAAAAAATTTTAAAAGCTACCACTGAGGGATGGAGAGCCTCCTATCACTACAAATCACCATCTTACTTGTGTTTAAGTATACATGGGCCTTTTATAGTAAAGAAGAGAAGGGAGAAGAAATACAATGAGACAGTAGACAACTCCAAGCTAGTTTTGTCCGCTGGCCCTTTCAGCTTCTTTCCTTCAGGCTCCTTTCCTATAATTGGACCCTGACCTCCTGGTTCCATCATCTAAATAATCTATTTATATGGATAAAGGAGAGGAGGAAAAGCCTTTGGCATGAGGAAGTTTGGAGAAGAGTCTGTCTCTAAAAGAAAAAAAACTTTAACTTTTAAACATCTATTTTGCCCTGTCACTTACACTACCAACCCTGGTTATGTTTTGAGACTGGCACTTCTTAACTTCCCCGGGCTGATCTCAAACTTGTGATCCTCCTGCTTCAGTCTCCCAAGTAGCTGCAATTACATCTTGCACCGTTGTGCCCAGCAAAAACCATTTGATTTTTTATTTTCATTTCTCACTTATTTTTTGAAGCCGTCTTCCAAAAAACATAGCCATATTCTATTTATCCACATGTAATAGTCCAAAAAATAAATTTTTTAGTCTCATATCAGTTTTATTTTAACCGTTCATCATATTTTAAATTACTGTACACATAGTTCAACCAAAAATCTTACCCTGATAATACATAATTATGAGGCTTATTTTTTGTGTAAAAATCATAATGTATAACAAAAGAAAATGGAAAAACTTGTTATCCTTTCCTGGATTATCCATGACATTCTTTCCTGTGAAAGAAGGAGTTTTTATGAAGAAAATCATTCTCTTATTTTAATCTCATATCAACTAAAGTCTTGAGAAAAGCCAAATTGGCAGAGGTAGAGATAGAGATGGGTATATGGCTCAGTGATGGGTGATATTCTTGCACTGAAATGAAAGAAAAGAATTTGGAAAGATATGGAATAGCTGCAAACAGCAACTGATGTATCTTCTTGATATAAGTGGATGACTGAAGGAATTAATAAATTAAAAATTTTAAAAACTATAAGAAACTTTGCTGATTATCCAGCTATTTAGCAATTAGAAATCCCCTCTACACAGATACAAATATATCGAAGTTATATTCCAAAAATATCAAAAGAAAAAAACTGTAAAGCCAACAAAAATACTTCCTGAAATTATATTTACAAGCTATTTTCTAATATAATATTTAGAGTCATCATATATCTTAAGGAAGAACTGCCACATAACAATGGGAACAGGAAGTGAGAAAAAATATATCTACTCTGTGATCTTTGCTTACAATGTGTTGTTATCTACAAGGTGTTGTATATAATTCAACAAATCCTTTCTACAATGTAAATATGTTTGGCATAAAGGAAATCGATTAAAATAGTACTCAGCAATACTGTTAATATATATATTCCTTTTCATTACCTTAGTCTTATTTCGGGATTCAGCCATTCAAAGTATCCATGTTTCCTTCCAGTATCAGTTGTGCACAAACCATAGAAAGCTACTGTATGCTACAATAAAGCTTGAAACTCACAGACATAGTTATGTTTAGAACACCTGTAACATAAAAGGCACTCAGTACACTGACCAAATTCAGGAATGAAATAAAATTGTATGTGTGTTAGTGTGGTACTGGGGACTGAACCCAGGGCCTTCTCACTGAGCTACATACACGGCCCTTTTTTAATTTTTTAAATTTAAGACAGGGTCTCAATACATTGCTAAGTTGCCCAGGCTGGGCTTGAATTTGTGATCATCCTGCCTCAGCTTCCCAGCTTGCTGGGGTTACAGATGTATGGCACCTTAAAATTCAATTCTTGAGATAATTCTCTCATATAGTAAAATATAGTATTGCAATACAAGGAATTGTTTCCTGTAAGCTGAGCCTAAATTGGCATAGAATAGTTTGAAAAACTAAAACTGGATTTTCATCCTCTTAGTTAATTTTCATCACTTCTACTGTAAATTCTTTATAAATACAGAATCAGCTACAGTCAAGTAAGTACATTTAAAGAAGCAATATACTGAATATTATCAATATTATTTAATGGCTAACAGGACAGTTCATCCCTGGGACAAATTCTGAACTTTCGTTATATACTTTGTCCATTGTTAATCTTCATTTTCTAGACCACTGAAAACAATAGAATGAAAGGCCATGGAGGGAAGAACAAAAAACAATTTGGGTTATCCTAAAGAGGAAATTATTCCTAACAATCTTTGTTTCTGTTATTTTTAAACAATGATAACTATATAAAGTAAAATGATGACTCCCAATTTAACAAATACAAACTGTTGTTTTATGATGTTTCTGGAATTTTGTGTTTTGCCCTAGGCTTCATTATTTCTTTACTTTATTTTTTATTTCAGAAACAGCATTTAAATAATGATGACATTCCTCAGCTTCCTAGGGTGTTGCTTATACTACTTTATTTAGTAGTTCAATCATAGCAAAAGGGCTATACTCCACCAACCCAGTGATTTTAACACATTGCTTAATGTTTGTTGCTGAGTGATATTTATGACTTAGGACTTGAGGGCTGCTTCTAAGTAGTAATAATAGCTGACACTGACTAGTAGATGCATTGTAGCAATCACCTGCTAAACACTTCCCTTGATCTTCTTATTTAGTAAGAGAAACTGTGGGACTTCCCATCAGATATATAGAGATATAGATTGCATAAAGCTCAAAAAATAAAAATATGTAAAGACTGTAAAATGAGAATTATTGATAGGGTAGTAACATAATCTAACATATACTGATGAATAAGGAAGTGGAAAAAATATTCTAGTTCTAGGAAGTACGAGAACACCAGGGTACTCTACTCCCCTCCCCACCTACCCACTCACCGAGCTGGAGACCAAACCAGGGTCCTGCCCATGGTGGGTGAGTTCTGCACTGAGCTATACCCCTAGCTTGGTATTCTACTCTTGTGTTTCTTTCTCTGTTGACTTAATAAAGGTGGATTTCTGTTTTCCTAATACATTCTGAAGGAAACTAGCCTCAAAATATCCCTCTGATACTTCTGAAATTTAAGACCAAAGAAGTTATGTTTTTAACCATTCAGCTGTAATTAAAGTCGGTCATTTTAACTAAAAAACCTGGCCATAGATATAACTAAAAATGTGAACCGAGTAATGTACCATTAGTACAAATAAATGTACCATTTTGACTGATTGTCTAGCTTTAGTATCTTTAAAACTTTTCCATATCAAAAGAATTGCTTTTAAAAGCTTTTTGGCAATACATAGTACTGACGGTTTTACTGAACAAAACAAATAACAGTTTATAGTCGCAAGTTAGAAAATATGATAGTAATTCATAAACTGCATACTAAGAACCAGTGTTCTCTACCAAATATGAAGCTATTATTATCTTTTATATTAAACCTGATAATAAATAAGAGGCATTTATTGTATAATTGATATTTTATCATTTCTTTTAGTAATAATCTGAATGATAGATGAGATTAGCTAGATAGTCATTATTAAGAGTCAAGAATTATCTTTTACCTAAGTAGACATAACTTAGTAAACTCAAGTATTGGAGGACTCAACAGCTACTTACTATTAACACAGAACTGTCCTACAACATTGGCAACTTGGTCTTCAGTTTCAGATTAGAACCAAGATATTAGGAACAAACATGATATGGATAAAACTTAAAGCCTCGGCTGCAGACAGGCAGGTCTGCCCACACCTCACCGAGGTCCCCAGTCGCACGGAACACACGCCAAATCAGCCCAGTGCAGACAGGTAGGTCTGTGCACGCCCTACCGAGGTCCTGAGTCACACGGAAGATGCCGAATCACTTCGCTGCAGACAGGCAGGTCTGCCCACACCCTACCGAGGTCCCCAGTCACATGGAACACACGCCGAATCAGCCTGCTACAGACAGGCAGGTCTGCCCACACCTCATCAAGGTCTCCAGTCACGCGGAACACACATCGAGTCAGTCTGCTGCAGACAGGCACGTCTGTGCACGCCCTACGGAGGTCCTGAGTCCTGCAGAAGACGCCGAATCACCCCACTGCAGACAGGCACGTCTGCCCACACCCTACCGAGGTCCCCAGTCGCATGGAACACACGCTGAATCAGCCCGCTGCAGACAGGCAGGTCTGTGTATGCCCTACTGAGGTCCTGACACGCGCAGAAGACACCGAATCACCCTGCTACAGACAGGCAGCCACCTGATTCCACAATACAAAGATGCAGAGGACACCAGACCACCAGACCAAGGTACTGAGTCCCACTGTTCGCAGCCCAGAGATAGGGGCTTCTGAGCCGTCATCCCACTGCTCCTGGTCCAGAGGAAGGGGCTTCCTGGTCACCATCCCTCCCGCTGCTCCCAGCCCAGAGGAAAGAGCTTTTGGGCCACCTTCTGTCTCACTGCTCCTGGCCCAGAGGAAGGGGCTTCTCAGCTACCATCCCACTGCTCCTGGTCCAGAGGAAGGGCTTTCCCGGCCACCATCCGTACTGCTGCTCCCGGCCCAGTCCCACCTCACCCAGCTCAGAGGAGGTAATCCATGCAGGCGCTAACAGCCCCCCGCCCCAGTCGAAATGAGAAAACAGGTAAATAAGTCTCAAAACCAGACTTCCAAATCACCTACAGCAACCCCAAAGGGAAATGAGATGGAACACTCTGATACTCAACCACCTGGACCCACTGAACTGGCAACCAAAGGG